ATATATATACACATATATATATGTATACACACATGTAAAATCCATAAAAAGTCCAGAGGAGTTTTTACAACATTTCTGCCATGTAGGGGATCTGCTCTGTAGATGGTGAGGAACACAGCTTCAAACCATTTTGCTGCTCCTTAAAAGAAAGAGAAGCCCCTCTTATGCAGTGCAAAACATGGAAATATTTCTGCTTGCCTTGTCTATAAATACTCGTGTGGCAGAATTTTGAACATCATCTAAAAAAAAGGAAGTGAGCCCATTACAACTGCAAAACAATCGAATTTGGGTATACTGCCCAAAATCGAGGCTTCTATGAGAAAGGGTGTCATGAATTTCAGATTGTCTCTAATCTGGTGGCTGTGAGTGTGTTCCTGGTTGTGCTCAACAGGCATGGAGAGACCTGAGCAGGCTGTGGCCACTCACTGGTCCAGCAGCTCATCAGCTTTACACCACTGGAAAGATTTATGGTTGACTACTTTTGTTCAGTTGCTTTTTCCTACCCCACAGCCTCTTGCAAAAATAGTTTCTGCTGCTTTCAACACAATGCCCAATATAATTGGAAAGTCTGAATCAAACTCGTGCTGTGTTTGCAGCCTCGGGAGGACTTCTGCTTCACACGGCGTGTCACAGGACAGTGGGGTGGATACGTGTCCTGAAGCGATTCCCTAGCTGAAAAGCTCAGCAAACCTCCACCCTTCTGAGAGGGAGAAAATATCCTTGTTTTGTAACTCTGGCACGAACAGGGTGGGAACTTTGTGTTTCAGAGCCCTTGAGCTGGTGGCCTGAAAGCCCAAATCACCCCTTTAGCCTTCAGAGGTGCTGAAGAGGCAGTTGCACGTCCTTGGTGCTCCTGAGAGTCTGCTTCTTAAGGTGCCTAAATTGCTGGGAGCAGAGTGAGGAATGCCTAAACCTATACATCTGGTGGTGGTTCCACAAGCAGACTGTTGACCCACATCAGCACTGGAAGTGACTGGAAGTGGACAAACCTGCTTTCATAACTGTAGAAGAAGGTGTGATATGATAATTTCAGGAGGCTCCATGATGAGGGCACTGGTCCATCCTTAAATACCTCAGAGCCCTGACCCTGTTTGTTTGCTATTTGGGTAGCAGAGGGTTGGGAAGTGTCACTGATCCCTCAGGATGGACCATAATTCTGCTACCACCTGGTCCTGCTTCATGGGAGCATCAGACCTAGCCCTGTAGCATCAGCTAAATTGATAGCAGCCTGCACTGCACTGGCCCTCCAGGTTAACTTGGGTCTTTTCTTCTCCACAGGTATCCCATGAGTTTGCCATTAACTTCAATCCCAGGAACCCATTCTGTTCAGGTAAGCATCTACCAGGTCTTTAAGACCACAGAAGTGCCTTCTGTCCTTCTTCTGCTTTTCTTCAGTAACATCTTCATCCCTAGCAGTGTTCAAGGCCAGGCTGGATGGAGCTCTGAGCAACCTGACGTAGTGGAGGATTCCCTGCCTGTGGCAGGGCGGTTGGGATGAGTTCCAATCCACCCCAATCCATGATTCTATGATCTTTAGAGATCTGCTCAGAGAGACATGAACAGTGAAGCAGAGCATGAGCTAAATCTGGGGGTGTGTAGGAAGGCCCAGGGTAAAATGCAACTGGATTCAGACAGTGTAAAATCCACCTTCACTCTGATGTCTGGTGTGTCCTACCAGCCGCCTGCTCCTGCAGCAAGGCTGCAAGAAACACAGGGCCTATGTAGTAGATGGGGAAGAGATCTGCTCAGAGAGACATGAACAGTGAAGCAGAGCATGAGCTAAATCTGGGGGTGTGTAGGAAGGCCCAGGGTAAAATGCAACTGGATTCAGACAGTGTAAAATCCACCTTCACTCTGATGTCTGGTGTGTCCTACCAGCCGCCTGCTCCTGCAGCAAGGCTGCAAGAAACACAGGGCCTATGTAGTAGATGGGGAATTCAGACTAAACACCTCTTTTAGCATCCCAGAGCTGCTCACAGTGATGGCTGAAGGACTGCTCAAATCCTAAATGGCAAGGGCTACTATGGACCCCAAAAGTCATCTTATCTCAGCAGGATAGGCCTCCAGACATCACTCACTGGTTCATGAAAGCTGGTTCTAACCACATGCTTTTCTGCTGCCTCTGCTTCCTTCAGTCCCTCTCCAGTAGTTGCAAAGCATTCACTGGACCTGATGTATTGCAGGCATCATGGGGTGCAAAAGCCACCACCCTGCAGCTCTTATCAGTGGCAGGTCCTTCCCTAAGGAGCAGCCATCTACCCTGTTCTGATGTGGCAAAAGTTTGGGAGTTCAGAGGATGATTCTGGGATTGTTTTGCCTCTCTCTGCTGTTTTAGGTTTTTTTGGTCTGTTCTTTCTTGCTTTCTCTCTGTCTGGTTTTTGATTATGTTTGCAGACCAGGAATTGCTTTTCTTTTTCCTCCTCCTCCTTGCCTGATTCTGAGATTTTTTCAGACTCCCAAGGAATGCCTTCATTGACTGTGAGCACTGCAAGGGCTTCCCTACCCCAGAAGGTCTGATGACCCACTGCAAAGTGACTAAAGTGCAGCTGAAGGAGTTGGGGGAGGGGAAGGAGATAGATCTAACTTCAGCTCCATGACAGCATGAACTAATGATTTGTAATTGAACTTGCTGTGGTCCTGAGCTGTGACACGTTGTAATGTCTGGCATTTCTGCTTTCCCTGAAGGTGTGGAGGGCATTGTCCAAGCATACTCAGCCTGCCTGCCCCACATCCGCTTCTATGGGCCCACCAACTTCTCCCCCATCATCAACCACGTGGCTCGCTTCGCAGCTCAGG